AACCTGACTCTACAAATTTCTCCCCTACCCCACATCCCCCAACAGCTCATCCCAACGGCCCTTAAACACACCCAGGGATGGGGACTCCACCCCCTCCCTGGGCAGTCTGTTCCACTCTCTGACCGCTCTTTTGTGAAACATTTTTCCCTCATGTCCAGTCTGACCCTCCCCTGTCACAGTTTCAAGCCGTTCACTCTTGCTCTGTCACTAATTCCCTGTGGGAAGAGCCCAGCACCAACCTCTCTGCAATGTCCTGTCAGGAGCTGCAGAGAGGGATGAGGGCTCCCCTCAGCCTCCTCCTCCTCACACTGAACACTCCCAGCTCCTTCACTGGCTCCTCACAGGATTGATTCTCCCGGCCCTTCCCCAGCCTCGTTGCCCTCCTCTGCCCTCGCTCCAGCCCCACCAGATCTCTCTCGGATTGAGGTGCCCAAACCTGGACACAACCCTCCAGGTGTGGCCTCAACAGTGCAGAGCACAGGGGGACTGTCACCTTCTGCTGGAAGCCTGCCCCCTCCCAGCTCTTCTCCAGTTTTCTCTTGTTTCTCTTAAGAAATCCAGAGGAAAGGCTGAACTGTTCCCCAGTTATGAGTCCTGAGGATTTTAATTGCTGTGGGATGTAATTAGCCCCTTTCCCCATCATAGCCCTCCGTGTACAGCTAAAGGCTGTAGAGGACAAAGGGTCTGTGGTTGAAAAGGAAAATGCTCCTCTGAGAACGTAGCGTGGCTGGAAGGAAAATAACTTGTGCTTTGTATGTGCAACGTGCTCAGAGCGAAGATCGTGGATGAGGAGAACGTGCGGCTGCAGGAGAGCAAACTCCAGCTCCCCGGCCACGTGCCCACCACACCGACCACGCTGAGGGGCATCCACGCTCCCAACACGGAGGTGAGACTCTGAGAGGGCTCGGGCTCAGCAGACGGGCTGCAGGAGCTGATGTCTCCTGCGAGCGTGGTGTGGTGTTTGTAGCTGCAGCTGAGGGTGCCGGAGAAGAGCTGAATCGATCCTGGGGTTGGGATGGAAAGGGGCAGCAAACACCCAGAGTGCGACGGCTTTAGGGGTGAGGGGGGACTCTGGGGAGCTGCAGCTCAGTGCCCTTGGCACACTGCTCCACCCCCGAGCCGCTGTCTGAGGAGATCCTTTTTCACAAGGACAGAAATTTCACTTTGGCTCTTTGGCGGTTTCAAGAGTTGTCAAAAGACCTTAGTTTTAAGTCAGCTTTAAAATTAGGAGAAGTAACACAGAGCGGTGTGGTTGGGAAAGTTACTTCTTTCAGCCAAAACAGGTGAGACCAAGCTGACGGATAATGTCGACTAAACTGAACTGAATGGAGATCTGCCTTCCCCAAACACTCGGGTTGGGATTGACCAAGTTTATGAAGAACTTTGGGGGAAGAAATGAAGAAAAATCCAGGAAAGCCCAAGATTGTGTTCTGACAACTCCTCAAATAAAACAGGTGGATTTGGAAGTTTGTTGGTGCATTTTGAAATTTGGAGGGAACGCAGTTTGGTTGGAAATGAGCTATTAAGGGTGAAAGTGCTGTTTGGGGCCTGGCAGAAAGAACTGATTGTGTGTTCCCCTCTGGTTTATTTCTTTCTGTTTGTTTCACCTGGGCTAGTGAGGTGGGGTTTTTAGTTTAAATTCAGACCCAGGGGACAAACCAGTGATTAGTACCTGAGTGGGGCTGGAGTTCATGGGGGAACTGTCAGTGGAGCTGGGGGAACTGTAAAGACCAAGACTAGGTGGAAATTTGGGGTCTGACACGCACCTCCTCCTTTGCGATCTGTTCCTCCTTCCAGAGCTTGAAGAGCGTTAACTTCTCTGAAGGCCAACTCCAGAGTAAGGTGTTGCCATCTGCCCGTACCAGGTAGCGTGGGGTAAACGGAGGAGGCAGGGATTGCCTCTCTGCATGTGGTGAGGGAGAGGTTGAGAACTTTGGCTGCGCCACCCTGTGCTTTCACCTCCAAGGGTCTGTCTTTCTCCTTGTTTTGGTCAATTTATAGGGAAAATGGTATAAAAAAGACTCTGAAAGTACTGGGATGGCAAAGTAAAATCTTCAAAATATGTGGAGGAACGCTGTGGGTTTAGAAATCCTTCTGGTGCCCGGTGGTTTTGTAGGAACATCTTCACACCAGAGGTGCTGAGACTCAGAGGGCCACGGCTGCCTGGCGTGGTGACCCACATCCCAGGCTGTGCTCAGGAGGGAGCCCCAGCTCCTCCTCCACTGGTGTACGCCAGGAGCACCGTGATCTGTGCCCAGAGGAGCAAGGGGAAGGCAGAGGCACTCTGCGACTCTGGTCTGTGCGCGCGGCAGGCTTGGTGGCAGCTTGGGGTGCTGTGGAGGGTGATGGACGGTCTGGGGGGGTGCTGGGGTGGGTGGGGGCCATCAGCTCCTTGGCTGGTGGAAGAGTATTGGAGCTTTATCCCTGCGCTGGCCCCAGGGATGCTGGGAGGGACGCTGGGGCTGTGCAGATGGTGGAGGGTCGGGTAGAGTTTGCAGAATGACGGAAGAGAGGAAATTTGTTTTCAGCTTCCCATCACGAGAACCGCCAGACTCGCTCACCCCCCCGAAGGCCACGCAAGACACGAAGCCTGCAGGAGGAGCTGAAAGCCAAGACTCCTCCTTGTGCTTATCCCCCTCTCAGCCTTCTGAGATCGGCTACTTAAATGTGGCTTCACCTGGAGACACCACAGCCTCCCAGCTGCAGGAGGAGAGTCAGAGCATCAGCTCCGAGAACATCTAAAGGGCGAAGGATGTTTGTAGAATGTTAGCTGGGCTGCAAGGTTTTGGGCTTCTGTTGCTGGGGGATGACGAGGACTGCAGGGGAGAATTGCCAGATTGACTGAGTTGGAAATTTCTGTTTCAGCTGTACTATTCACCAGATTTTTTTTCAATTTCTCCTCTTGTAAGTGTGTGTGTGTGTGTGTGTGTGTGTGTG